GCTGAGGCTCAGTCCCCTTCAGCTCTCGAAACTCAGTTTCCTCAGATTCCCACCGTCTCCTCATGACCTGGAAAAGAGGCACTGCCACCATGTCCGAGTATTAACTGCACATTCTTTTGTTGTTTCTTTGTTTTGTTTGTTTTTTTGAGACAGGGTTTCTATGCCTCACCTTGGCTATCACGAACTCGTTCTGTAGACCAGGCTGACCTCTAACTCGGAGATCCACCTGCCTCTACCTCCCGAGGGTTGGGATTAAAGTCCATGAGCCACCACCTCTGAGCTATGAGCTACTCATCCTAATGTGCTTGCCTATAAACTGGGATTTGATGACAGTTTCCCCGCTGCTGGCAGGGTAGAAGGCAGAATAAGGAAGGCACTGTAATTAATTCAAAAAAGGTTGAACGTCAACTCTCCTGTTCCCCTAACATTCAGAAACTGCTTACTTGGAAGGCACTAAACTGAGCCCCACCAGGTTCACACAGCAGTAGGGAGGCGCGTTCACTCCCATTTGTCCAGGCTTCCGGGTGGACTCCTGAAGGCCTGGCCTCTGAAGATTGCCGGCCCCGCAGGCACAAACCTGGGCTCTCCCACCCGACCCCCAAACTTCAAAGGCAGCAGCCAGCCTCTCCCTGGCACATCCTCTTGGGGTCGCTTGCTGACTAACCTGTAAGAGAAAGGAGTCCTGGCACAGCGAGGACAGGCAGACAGCTGAGGCCAGGGAAGGCTGTGGAGTGATTAGAGCCTTTTACAGAAGACTCTAGGCGGAGGGGCTGGCAGGCAGCCCAGTTCTCTTTAAACAGAGAAAGGGAAAAAAAGAAAAACCCTTGTCTGATGGTGACTCGGTAGAGCTACTTTGCCTAACAATTTTCAGTGTCTTTCTCCCAAAGAAAAGGCGGCCAGACCGGGACTACCAGACCCAAAGGACGCCAGAAGACTTGCTTCTGATGGCCGACAGTGTAGCCCGCTTTCAGGCCTGGAATGTTCCAGGAGCAGCGAACAAGAGAGCAAACAGGGCCTGGAATGTTCCAGGGCTGGACGAGGCTTCTCCGATCCCCCAATAGTTGGTTTGGAGACAATCAGACATCCATATGGAAAAAATAAAATAGATCCCTATCTCACGGTAGGCCTCCAGATAAATTCCAGATGAGCTGAACACCTACAGGGAGCAAGGTGCCGCTATCCCAGCACAGCTGGAAGAAAGCATGGGGCAGACATGGGGCTCTGGAGCAAACCAACCACAGGATACATAGAGGAAAGGCAGTGGCTATCTACATGAGGATTACAGTGGCAAGCCGGAGCTGGAGTCCAGGGACAGTGCCCACTATGCTCTGGAGCTAGGAGGGGTGAACAAAACTGTTCCCCTCTCTCTCACAAACTGTGTGTGTGTGTGTGTGTGTGTGTGTGTGTGTGTGTGTGTCTTAATTTTCAAGACACAGTTTTTCTGTGTAGCGCTGGCTATTCTGGAACTTGTTCTGTAAACCAGGCTAGCCTCAAACTCAGAGATCTACCTGTCCCTGCCTCCTGAATGCTGGGATTAAGGGAGTGTGCTACCATCGCTTTGCCCCTTCTTCTTCTTCTTCTTCTTCTTCTTCTTCTTCTTCTTCTTCTTCT